AAAAACGGCAAGAAGTTAATTAAGAACTACTTGTGCTTAAATGATAGACTTAAGGATAGGAAAACCCGGACAAAACAGGCAGCTCAACGAGTCTTCAACTGATAATGGTTCTAATCACGATCACTTTTTCTATACTTCTTTTTAGACTCTTTCTCACAAACAGACAAAATGCTCATCAACTTAGAGAGACATGTGTCCAGCATTAGGCAATCGGATTGAGGGTTAAACTATAAAAAAGGCGGCGGGGTGGTAATTAAGCCTTGATGAACGAAGACAGATGTTACTTTTTGTTCTGATTACTTTGAGCTAGCTACGCACATAAGGCACATAAACACACACAAGCCCACACGCATGCTTGTAGCTTCACATTAGGCTTGAATCCATCTAACCATATCCCTTTATACCACATCATAATTCTTAGATTTATGATATAAATACAGCCTTTAGGTATAAGCCAATAAAGCTTGTAAGAATGATGCCCTCTTCTGATAAAGTCCGTCATATGACAAAAGAAAGCTTAGCACATTCCACAAAAATTCAATGAGATTATTTGTAGAAAAGTTGGGTTTTGAGGAATCCCCTGGTTAATTAGTGTGACTCGACTGTCCATTTTAAGGGAAAAGTTGGTTGAAAGGACTTTGTGAATGGGTCTCATCAGAAATCGAAGGAAGATTGACTACTGCGTAGTGAGACTTGTACTATATAAAGGGGTCTAGGCTCGCCGTCCTGCAATACGGTGAACCCTTGGAAAGCTTTCGTCTGTACAGCTGTGGCAGACATCATCAGAAAAAGAATCTACACATTACGAAATAGCGCAAAAATATACTGAACCAAGAGGCCGGCTGCAAATCTAGTCATTTCTTATTTCTAGTTTTGCGGTTTTAATGGGGTATCCCATGATCTTGTTGGCTACTTCATACTTATTGTTGGGGAGACCATTTCGTGTAAAAGTGCATTAAGAAGTGATTCAAAAAGCGATCTTACCGTTTTGATGCAGCGGTTTGGTTTTAATACGGCGTTCAAGTTGACGCAGTCAACGAAACATCCTCCCTCGTTTCAGGTGAAAACGGGCTGTGCTTCAATTCGTCATATGACGTACATCGTCAGAGCTGGGACTCATTCTTGC